AAAGCAAAATGAAAGAGTGGAGCAAAAAAAAAAACTTAAAAATTTTTAAAAAGCAAACAAAAATGATTAAAAACAAACATAAAAAAACATAAAAAATTACACTCGAACAAAAAGGAAAAAAATTAAAAGCAGAAAAAAAACGCTTATGGTGGTTGCCCTAAATCATCAAGCAAAAAAAAAGAAAAGTAATTAAAAAAAAAAAAATTATTCTTTACGAAGTAAATTTTATCCCTAGCGGTGTGTGTGTGCCCTGCGGAGGAGAGGGCAAGTGCTCTACACTGAGACCGCACACTCCTCACGCAGCCGCAAATCCCCACAGCCCAAGCAGAAGAAGCAGTGGCAGCAGTCCGCTCCCAGCAGAGGTAAAGCTTACCGCAGCCGCATGTTCTGTGGTGGTAGCTCTCTCCACTTGTGGTTCTGGAGCTCTCGTCGGAACGGGTTTCCTGTCCTTGATTGCACGCATCTCAGTGGAATTCAGTGGGCGATTGTACAGAAAGACGTTCTTCACCTTCACCTTAGTTTTTTGGCCGGCATCCTCACCGCACGCGCCAAAGCAAAACCCAAAAAGCTCAAGTGGTGTCTCACCTTTTAACGGCACTTCTTCCTCCCCCAGCGACTTACCATCAATGTACACAGAGGCCTTTTGGCCTTGCAGCATGAGTGCCACTTGGTGTTCTTTCTTCGGCTCCCAAGTGCTGCTTTGTGTTTTTGTGTTGTCCTCGAACATCTTCCCCCACTTGTTATCTGCGGTATACGACACTCCCATGGTATGATTGGAATTATTGTTCGCCAACGTCGCAGTCAGTAGAGGAGTGTTATTACTCGGAGCCTCTTCGATGATCACCGACGCCACAAGTGTGAAGTTGTGGCTCAAGGATATATGACGCACATTATTAATCCGAGTGTTCACGGACCATGATACCCTGGAGCTAGGCTCCGTCAACTGAAATCCATCTTTGACCTTCGTGGCATTTCTTACCGTCGCATTCAGGCAAAGATACTCGTCGTACCACGTGTCACCGCTGGCCGTATCGGACAAAACCGCCACCAGACCCGCTGTGGGTATAGACAAGCTGGAGAAGAAGACGTCCTTTTGCGCCCAGGTCTTCAGGACAGAATTGA